ATTATGTACAAATTATGTACTTGTACAAATTATATACAAATTATGTACAAATTATGAACATGTGATTACCAAAATGTATAAGCTTTTATTGAAATTTGAAATGGAAGAACAAGTTTATAGAGTATCTTATAACACGGGCCAAAATTTCAGTTACCAATTCAATTACCAATGGACCAATGGGAGAAGAAGTGGTTGAAAGGGCTGAAATTTACATTATGTTATAACTTAAAAAAGAACATTTACAAAATGATGTACTGTTGGTATATGACACCATAAAATTATCTAAGATGTATAAAGGTACTTCAAATTTATGTTGGAAATGTGGAAAACATGAAGGGTCATTTTATCATGCATGGTGGACTTGTAAAAAAAGCTAGAAAATTTTGGGTCCAAATACATACAGTGATACAAAGAATTTTTAAGATTTTCAGCTGAAACCAGAATTTTTGTTGTTGTTGACAGTCAACTAGAAAAGACTCATGGAATATTGTTTTTATATCTGGTAACTACTGCGAGATTATTATATGCACAAAGATGGAAAGATTCGGAAATACCTACAATGGAGGAATGGTTGGTGAAGATGACAGAATTTGCAGAAATGGCAAAATTGACTTGTTTGATTAGGGAAAAGACAAGAAGTACATTTATTAGTGACTGCAAACCCTTTATGAAATTTTTGCTGAAAATGGAAAAAAATGAACTGGTGATTTACGGATTTGATGATTAGAAAGAGTAAAATATGGGAAGAAGGGAATCATGATGTAACGTTAAACAAGGGAGAACAGACGATAAATTTGTTTGTAACTGCTGTAAAGAAGATCAGAAGCCACTTTATATTTTTTCTTTTTTTATCTATTCATCGCTTTTCTTTATTCTTTTCTCTTTTTCTTAAATTTGTATTGTTCTTCAATAAAAATTAATAATAAAAAAAGAACCTGGTCCCTGCCCTGGATCATCCCTGTTAAGTCATAAAGTGGCATGTCTAATTTTGGATCTGTGTAAATGCAGCCACAATAATTTATAAACCACGATTTATGGCTTACCAAGTTGTGTAAGCCTAATTATTTTTAGTTTATTCAATAAATCATAATTATGCAAACTTTCCTTCTAATATTCTCACACCGTGAATTTCTCTCTCAAGATGTTCTATTGAAGTGGCCAATTATTCACAAAAGCTTGTTAAAATAGGCATTGTTTCAAATGGTTTTTATTTATTCATTTTATTTAGTTATTACTACAGGTTATATGCCGCTCCATTTCTGGAGACTATGTAAGACTAGCGGGTGTGAAAAATGAATTAAAAAACAAACGTCACTCGTTTCTTTACTGCTGCTCTTCCCACGTACGTTACTGCTGCGCGCAGCAAAACTTCCCCTTATTTTAAAACTTAATGTACAGTACCTTATTTTTTTACCGTATTAAACAAGGGAATTAAAAGGGGTTACATGTCAAGGCAGACCGGACAGCTGCAGTTAAGAGAGAAGATATTCCTTAGAGATGTTTTTAAACGGCCCTTCTCATTCCGCTCTATAATCCACTTGGAACACGTGGGCTTCAACGGCTAAGGGAGGAGGAGGAGGAAGAGGCGGAAGCATCTTCTTTAGCCAATCGCAGAACAGCAGCTCGCGGTTGCTAGGATACGGATGTAAACGGCATCGAACAGCCTCGGCTGGACGGAGACTTGGCAAGACAGCGGGCACCATGGACCCCCTGAAAGGGGCCGGTCGCCGCCCAGTATCCCCGATGCACAGAGCCGAGCTGGAAGTCAAGTATGAAGGGAAAGGAGAAGGACGGGAGGCTTTCTGGTGTTTCCGAAATGTGCTTTCTTAAAGACTTTTCCTTTCGTTCCCTACCTTCATTGAATTTTATCTGGGAATAAGACCTATAGAACTCAATGCGATTTTCTTCTGTAGATGTTTTTTCTCCCGCAAACAAATAAAAGTACCTCCGGTTTTGGTAAGATAAGGACCACCGGGTTTTAGTCTGTCATGTGTTTTTCCATCTCTCGAGGAACCTGCATGGAAACAAGTTTAACCTACCAACTGCACGTTGTTTTTAAAAAATGAGGGCCCATTTGTGTGTTTTCTTTTTCATGCCAGCAGCCTTAGGAAGAGTCCTGGGAGGCTGTTGGAAAGAATATTTTAGATATTACTATGGGAATGATAGCGTTATATTGAAGAGTGGGATTGAAATAAATGAGTTGTCAGGGGGGGAAAAACAGGCAAAAAAGAAGAAATAAATGATTTGATAATGTTGAAAAATGGTAAAGCTGCAAGTGTAAAGAGAATGAATGAGGATTAAATTAAAAACAAATATATGAAGGAAGAGTGAATGGACTGTGAGAAAGTAGAAGGCTTAGATTTTGTGGTTGGATGAAGTTGATGACATCCTCAGAAATGCAGAGGTGAGAATTTTAAAGAAGAAAAACAATGTATGAAGCAGAGCATGGTGAAAGTAAGGATGGTGTAGTGCCTTGGCAGAGCCTATAAAAGTGGAAAGATGGAGGTCTCAAATCTCCTCACCAAGAAGGTCTCTGAGTTTTCATATCCAGCCATACTTCTTACTCTGTGGAATAGCAGTTTGATAATTTAGATTGTTGTTGTTGTTTAGTTGTTAAGTCGTGTCCGACTCTTCGTGACCCCATGAACCATA